CCACCATGTGGTTGCCGGGAATTGAACTCAGGACCTCTGGAAGAACAGTCAGTGCTCTTAACCGCTTAATTTATCAAGCACAGTAGCATGTGTCTTTAATCTCAGCACTCAGGAGGCAGAGGTAGGTGAATCTCTGTGAGTTCAAGGCCAGCCTGTTCAATATAGTGACACACTACCAAACAAACAAACAAAATTTTGGTTTAATATTTAAAATTTTATTATCTGTTTTCCTCAAGGTCAGTGAATTTAATGTATTCATAGAAAATTTGATTCTGTGCTCTGCTGTCATATTACACACATGTACCAGACACACTGCCACACAGACACACTCCCATGCAGATATACTCCCACAGATGCATGGAAGCAGACATGCAGGCAGACATATTAATACACAGTTCCTCAGTTCCTCTCTCTCTCTCTCTCCACACACACACACACACACACACACACACACACACAGACACACACACACAGGCACGCACGCGCGCGCGCACACACACACACACACACACAGATGTTTGAAATCTTTTAACAGAGTATCTTTTATTTGTTCTTTGATAATGTCATATGCATGCTCTATGCCTCTCTTCTACTCCCTGCTTGCACCCCCAACACCCCTCTTTTGGGAACTCCCAACTTCCTCCTCTACTTCACCAAGGCACCCCTCCCACCATGCCCCAGTCTCCTCTTCACATTCCTTTTTTTTTTTTTTTTTTTTTGCTTAATAACTTCCTGAGACCAATTAATGGTGGAATGTTGACTTGATCACATCACATTCCAAAGACAGCATGTCATGGGCCCCTCCCCATCCTCCTGCTCTTACATTTGTTATGCCCATCTTCCACAATCTTCCGTGAGCTTTATGGGAGGGAGGGTGGAGAGAGATGTCTAATCGACTTAGTCTCACTCAATACATCACTTATTCTCAGTACTCTGACAAGTTATGAATCTTTACTGGTCCTTGTTTCTTCTAGGCAGCTCATCTGATCTCCCAGTCTTCCAGGCAATTTGGCTGCTCTTTGCTTTTTCCAGGAGGCTGGACTTGTCTGAGTGTCTTCTCTGCAATACCACTTGCCTGAGAGTGACTCTCAGAAGCCTTTATTGTTTTTGTACTCTTGGCAAGGGAGAGGTCTAGTGAATCTGCTCAGTTTCAGGGACTTCCTGAAGCTTTTTCAGGTTGTTTACTTCCCATCTTAAGGACCTTCCCTGCAGTATGGAACCTCTCCAAGAAAATTGCTATGCAACAATACAGGGTTATGTTGATTGCTTTTCTCCCACTGCATTCTCCATAGACCCTTCTAGAATTACTATATCTAGTTAGCAGGAAGCGTTTGGCTTGATTTCTTCATGTCTTGCAACCAAAGTATGTTGTGATTTTAGCAGTGAGGTCTTATCATCTAGTTATGGTGGCAACTAAGAACAATGTCAATAGTCTTTCCTGTTCTGGGGACCTCTGGTGCCTCTCCATGTATTGCATGCCTATGGAAACTATTTCTTCTCCAAGAAATTGAAATTTAGGGCATAGTAAAAATTTTAATTCTATTCCTCAATATATGCTACAAAATGTGTGCTTCTGTTAGGTGCCAATGAAAGTTGTAACATTCTCATGAAAAAAAATTTGCCTTTGTTCCTTTAAAAAATCATGCTACTTAGTGTTATCTACAGTTCTACATCTACAGTTTGGCCTGTTAATAGGAATTTAAGCTTGTAAGAAACACATATATAAATTGTCAAATTCTTGGTTCCTGTGGGTTAGAGCAAGAGCTGATGGTTGGAGATTAATCACTAAGAACAGCTCACAAGTTCATAAATGAACATATTGGTGGTTTTAGAAAGACATCTGTTCTCTCTTGTACTACCAGAAAAGCCTGACTTGTGCAAAGTTACACACCATTGAGATAAGGATGACGTTAGAGATGATGTCACCAAACAAAACTGGCACCAAAGCAGATTCTTACAAATGTATCATCTCACCTCCATTATGCAAAGTGCTTGGGAATCAAGGGGCTCTGTTACAAAATATATATTTTTTATAATGGAGAAATATCCATTATTTTAAAGATAAGACTGGAGCAAGCAGGATGGTTGTCAACTTGACAGGATTTAGAACCACTGAGAAGACATACTTCTGGGCATGTCTGTGAGCAAGTTACCAGACTTGGTTAAGGAAAGAGATGGCCCATCCTAACTGGGCAGCACTGTTCCATGGGCCAGGGTCCTGGATTCACTAAAAATGGGAAAGAAAACTGAGTGCCAGCCATCTTTCTCTGTTTCCTGGCTATAGGTACAATATGAACAGCGGCATAAAACTCTTGTCCCCATGGCTTGCCTTCCACGATGAACTGTATCCTTGGACTGTAAGGCAAAACAGTCTGTTATTCTTGGCAAAGTATCTGTCAAGGGTTGTGTGAAAGAAACTAACATAGTAAGTCATCTCCCAGCAGCCAATCCCTACCAACAGCTCCCTCTGTCAGACTTCGGCTGGTATGTAGTGCTATAGAAAAGAGTCTGGGTAAGAAGCTTATTAGCCTCTGATGGTCAGGAAGTGGAGGGGTATGAGTCTGACTGCAAGGGGCTAAGGCAAAGAAGGGTATGAAGGCGGCAACAATGAATATGGTAGAGGTCAGATCGTAGCAGGAGACAAAGGAGGAGCTGTCAGAGTTTGAGATACACGAACAAGGTGTAGCACCAAGGAAAGGACTAGAAGAGAAGATGCAAGACAGGGAAGATTCTCCAGGAAGTCAGAGTGATGTCTCAAAGATATACTGCAAATATGCTCAAAGACACAGGGAGGGATGAGCATTCCTCTCCCTCTCATCCATGGGTGGGAGAAGACAAAAAATGTCATGGGAAAGAAAGTCTTTCCATAAGGAGAAACAGAGATTCTTAATATAAAAACAGGATTCAAATTCCCTTTATTTCTTCACTGGGGACTGAGAGAGAGAGAGAGAGAGAGAGAGAGAGAGAGAGAGAGAGAGAGAGAGAGAGAGAGAGAGAGAAGTTTTAAGTCTTTTGCTTCTCAGGGCACCTGCTCACACATGCACATAATTAAAAAGTAATACAATAAACCTTTAAAAAGAAGGTGTGGGCTTCGGGGAATATTTGGGTATAACTGGAGGAAGAGATAAAATAGTAATTTTACGAAGTTTCTAGAAGCTATGACACAAATGCTAGGACATAATGAGAGAGAGAGAGAGAGAGAGAGAGAGAGAGAGAGAGAGAGAGAGAGAGAGAGAGAGAACTCAATATGAGATGATCTGAACACTGGAGACATCTGAAAGCAAAGAGGAACAAAGGGAGGGTGGTTAGACAAGCATAGTAAGTTTTGTGTTTATGTCCAATAGGTCAGGTTACAAAGATGTTTCCATCATCCAGTACATTGCTGTGAGAAGAGCATAAGAAAAGCATCTGGGAAACTAGAGTCTTGAATTCTTGTTAAAAGTAGGTGAGGGAGTAGACAGTGCAACGGACAGACAGGGAAACAGATGGGAGGACAGAGTATCTAGATGGAGACAAAAGTATGAAAAGACCTTACACTGGTATTTTTCAAATGTTGCTTCTGAACTGGGCACAGTGGTGCATGCAAGAGGCGGAGGCAGTGGACTCTCAGTTTGAGGCCAGTCTAGTCTACAAAGTGAGACCCTGTCTCAAAGCAAACAAATGTGACTCGTGCTGGGAAGTATCATTGCTGTATCACAGAAGACAAGAGGATAAAGGAAAGAATCCTGTCTTCCCTTCAAAGTGGGCAATATCAAGTATTGGTGTGTGGGAGGGTTATTTGCAAATGTTGTATGGAGAAGACTGAAGACAAGGGCTACGAGCTATTAGTGTGTGTGTGTGTGTGTGTGTGTGTGTGTGTGTGTGTGTGTCTCCCATACTAGCTGTGTGTGGGTATGTCTAATCAAGGGGCTTTCCTGGGCAGCTCCCACCTGAGTAGAAGGGTTATGGAGAATCACACATGGGGAGGTTCTCAAGAGTCATGCCAATCCCCTGTCCATCCTTTGCTGGCAAGAAGCCGAGAAAGGCAGTCCAGCAGTGCCCAGGAATAGGAGGGATCCCAGGAAATACAGATGACACTGTTGATACATGCCTAAGAGAGATGGTGAATGATACATTTCTACAATGGGATGCGAATAGGTAATGGAAGTGGACAGGTAACACCCACCACCACACGGCTGACCCTAAACATAGTTGAGTGACGAAGCCTAACATGCCTACAGTGTGGTTTCTTTTATACCTCTATATAATTTGTATCCATATCATCTAATTTTTTCACGACATATATAGCCCCTAGATACACAACATGAAATTATATAGTTTAGAGAACTATGTTTGATCATAAAACTATAAGACAGTGAGCTGGGGAAACAGTACAGTTGATGAAGCGTCTACCTTACAAGCACAAATACCTGAGCTTGATTCCCAACACCCACAGGAAAAAAAGAAAGAAAAGGAAAAAAAAGCCAGGCAGTGGTGGCGCACGCCTTTAATCCCAAGCACAGGGAGACAGAGGCAGGCAGATCTCTGTGAGTTCGAAACCAGCCAGTATTAAAAAAATGACATTTACAATCATTTTAAAAGAAGCTCTTCTATATAATCAGGACAGTGATCTTGAATAAAAACCATCTCTAGGTAGTCATGATCTTGATTCAGATTGCTTATACATTCAGAAATTACTTTCTGGTCATGATAAACATTGTATACAACTTTTAAAATGTCCTTAAATACACATTCATTTTAAAAACATTAGCCTGGCCACAGTTTTTAGGCCAAAACAATCCTAAACAAAAATTGGTAAAAAGAAAAAATATTGGTACGATAACCAATGTCTTAAAATTTGTCTTTAAAGGGAAAAAATATTTAAAGAACACATGGAGCTTTCTAAAGGGTCTTTAACAAACTACCTTGGGAGCTCAATTCAAAAATAGAACTCGATGTACTAAAACAGATGTTCCGGCACAGCTCCAAAAATCTCTATAAATTTAGAAGGACGATCCTGGATCAGAAGTGTTATTCCTTGTGTATCTACATTATGTGTGTATGCCCCATCTCAGTTGTCATAATTGTCTCTGTAATTTCATCCTGAGTGGCGCTCATAACCACCCTGGCTTCTGCCACTATAGTCTCTAGACCGTCCATATCCATACTCATATCCTCCAGGTCGACTGACATATCTTCCACTTCCATAGCCCTAGTCTCCACCACCTCTGGAGTAGCTGCGACCACGCCCATGGGCCCCAAAGGCTCCCCCTCTAGATCCCCGGGCAGACTTGCCTGCATGGTCCACATGGATCTGGCGCCCATCCAGGGACCCTCCGTCCATGGCTCTCATGGCATCTGAGGCATGCTCTGGGTTGGTGAAGGTGATGAAGCCAAAACCCCGGGATCTTTGAGTCTCCCCGTCCTTGACAACAACCACCTCAGAGATAGGCCCAAAGCTGCTGAAGTGGTCTTCGAGTGCCTGCTCATCGGTGTTGAAGTTGAGCCCTCCCACGAAGAGCTTCCCTTCTTCAGAAGACATGGCAGAAGGCAAATCCTGGACAAACTCGCTTAAAAATCAAAAGGCTCGAGACACTGCGAGCTCTGAGGAACCCAGAGAACAGAGAAAACAGGAACATTCTTGAGGAAGGAAGGAAGCTGGTCATGGCCTTGTTCTGAACCTGAATATCAGTTAGCCTCTGTTGTCTGCTGAAGAATTGCCTCCATTGAATTGGCATGTGAGCATGTCAGTGGGGGTGTTTTTTAGTTATTTTTATTACTTGCTAATTGACGGGGGGGGGGGGGGGGGGGGATATGGCCTAGTCCATTGTGAGCAGTGCCATCCGTGGGCAGGTGGTCCTGAGGTGCACAAGGTGGCAGCCTGGGAAGCCAGTAGGCAGTGCTCCTCCGTGGTCTCTGCTTCAGTTCTTGTCTCGAGGGTCCTGCCTTGCCTTCCCCAGTGACAGACAAATAAACCCTTTCCTCCCCCAGTTGTTTTCTGTCTGAGGTTTCTCCCAGCAACAGACAGCAAACTAGAGCACTGAGCGACAGTTTCTGTGTGAAGGAGTTTGTCCTCTCAGGTTATTTGCATCCTCATGTAGGAGTTCAATAAGCCAACTGTGTTCTCTACCTCAGCATGTAAGAGGATGCTGCCTCAGGGCACAGAGAAAAGCATTTCCCTCCGGCTGGAGTACCATTGCCTCTGGCTAGCTGTGCTTCCCTGTCCTGTCTGTTTGACACATGCCCTCCAGACCTCCTGTTTTCTCTTTTCTTTCTGATTTACCATGTTGAGGGGGAAGAAAGATCTGTGCTCCCATTTGACATAATTGCTGAACACCCAACTCAGTCCCCGCAGGTCCTGCGTAAATGTCATTATCTGCTGTTGTCTCCCATAATTACCACCCCTTTCCTGGGTTGATGAACAGTTTCTGCCATCGACTGGTTTTGCAGTTAACAAAATGCCACTTTGCTACGGGCATCACTACCCGACTCATGATCTCTTTATCTTTGTTTCCTATAGTAACTTGTAAATTCCAGTGACTCATATCTCTCTTGTTCCAGACACTTAACTTTCAAATCTGTATTTTCCACCCTCCAGTGCACAATTTGTTTTACATTCTCGTGCGTCTCCCTTTCATCATCCTTGAATCCTACAGCTGGGAAAAGCCTTCCTCCTGCAACTCAGCCCAGAACACCTTTGTTTCCCTACTTTGCAGCCTCAAACATGTGCTTTTGAAGGTAGATAATTTGAAGTATTCCCATGTCCTCTCGCATAAAAGGCATTTGTACTGGTGTCCTTCAGCCGAAACTTCTGTCAGCCTCCTACTGAGACATCCAAAGGGCCGTTGGCTTGCAGCCGTTGTTCCAGAAATGGTGGCATTTCGATGGCAGGATTCCCACTGCCTCTTGACTATGGAATGGATTGTGTAAGGTCGAAGAGAAGGAAGGACAGGCAAGAGAGTGAGCGAAGCTATGATGATTCAGGGTTTATTCCAGAAAAGACCGGCAGGGAGGAGAACTGTAGTTCAAGAAACCAGAGAGGGTGACATGTTTACAGGCTGTGGTAGTTATAGGGCAGAAAAGGGGGAAGGGGGAAGGGAGAAGGTTGATGTTTCCTTTTGGGGCCCTATGGTTGGACATTCTCAGAGGCTGCTAAGGAAATAAGGTAGCAAATAAAAGAATGGCAGGTGCCTTTAATCGCAGCATTTGGGAGGCAGAGGCAGGCGGATCTCTGTGAGTTTGAGACCAGCCTGGTCTACAGAGAGAGTTCCAGGACAGCCTCCAAAGCCACAGAGAAACCCTGTCTCAAAACCAAAAAAAAAAAACAAAAAAAAAAACAAAAGAAAAGAAAAAGAAAAAAAAAAGGAATGGCAGGTGAGGGTCATTCCTGGGGGTGATGGGGCTGCCAGGGTAAGAGTCTAGAAAAACGAGCTTTGGAAAACAAAAATGGGAGAGCTTTACAAAATGGGGTGGCCATGGCTAACAGATTGATCAGTGCAAAAAGACCAGTTATCTCCAGGAGTGACATCCCACCATCACCTGGGGGAGAGAGTTTGGGGTTTTTGTTGTTGTTGTTGTTGTTGTATTTTTATGGAGGTGGGATAATGCTTTCTTTTGTTGTCTTTCCTTTTCTGTCTCCCTGTGTCAATTTACAAAGGCCTTTGAACTGGTTTTCAGGCTCTTTAGGGTTGACAGCTAAGCTGGTTGGCAGGACTCATAGGCACTCTCCAATTAAAGGACCAGACCGGTTGTAAGAAAAAGAGGGCAGCTGTAGAAGTAACACTGGTGAGTAAATACAAGCTCAACCCCAGTGTTGTGAAGTCTACAGCAATCACCAAGTCAAATATAGCATGCTGTTCTTGTCCGAGGTTTAAATGTCCCACCCGCTATCAATCATTTTAGTGGGTTTCACCTTTGGCTTTAAGGGTCTCTCTGTTCAGGCAGATACTTGTAAGGACTATTTGGAGGACAGAAAATCCTGTGGCACCTAAGTGAGATTTTATTCAGGGCTCCCCCACAGCTCACCTATGGTGAAGAACAAGACCCTATTTTGATTAAAAAATTTTTTTTAATTTACAAAATTTACTACTTAGAAAAAGGGACACTAGCCCAATAATGTTGGTACAAAAACAGAGCAATCAGTTTAGAATGATTCAGATATTTTAAAAGAGCATTTAAAATGGGGTTTTAAAAAGACAAAACCAAACCCCCAAAATATTTAAAAGACAAAACCAAAAGTCTAAAAATATTAGACATGAAAAATTGTGTCCCATAACCTATATGGTACAATGTTAATATTTATCATTTCAAATCCTTAGCTCTTCCTGGCCTAACTGAAAACACAACCTTTTTTTTTTTTTAACATGCACCTATAGAAATATTTCTTGTGGGAAAACTTTCACATTCCCAGCTAATGCTATGTATTGATCATACAAAGCCTCATCCATCCTGTGAGAGCCGTACCAGGGCTCCCAGCCCGATAGGACCACTTGCAGACAAAGTGTTAAGAGAAATAACACAAGTCATATTTGAAATGACATAGACATCAGGAGGGAGGGAGTTTTTTTTTTTCTCCTCCTCCTTTTTGTTTCGTTTTAGACTTTTTCCTAACAGAACTAGGTAAAAAATTTTTTGGAGTGTTTTCTTATAAGAGGATTATTTAAATGGTGTTTTAAACATCAGCTATGCTCAGGAAGTGATAAATTAAGGCTACTAGCTACTCTCAAATTAGGCGCAGGCACACACATTTGCACAGGTTGAATTGATAGGCAGGCAATTTGGGGACTTAAATTGTCTGTGTTTTCCTGGTTAATCTCACATATTAAATAAAAAACACGAAGTGTTTTAGAGATGTGTAGATGGTGATATTTGATTCCTAGAAGGATTTTTCCCAGGGGAGAAAGAGTAAGGAAAGAACCTTCACTCCCCAGTCCAAGGTCCAAAGTTCCTCACACCCTGCTTTCCTCGGTAGGTGTCTACTCGGAGAACAATATTAAAGGGACCCTAAAATACAATCAATCATAAAATATAATTTGCAAGTCAGTAGGGTGTTTTGGGGTTGAGGAAGGTGATGTGGGCGGTGAGGCAGATGGGGGGAGGGGAAGTTTGGCAACCCATCCTTCCTAAAGGCATGAGGCTCAAGAGAGTGTCTTTTTCGTGCTTCTCCCGGCTGGCAGCATCTGTTCCCCCAGCGCCCCAAGACCAGGGGTGTTCTCCTCCCCAGTCCTGTCCACCAGGTTGGTTCCCTCAAGCCCGGGTGTGAGGCAGCCAGCTAGGGGGCTCTGCCCAAACCCTGAAAAGTCACAAATCACTGGTTCAAATAGACCCGCTTCTTCAAAGGAGAGCTTGGGGGATGGGGTGGGGTGGGGGAAGAGGGCGGGGACACGCTGAAAGCGATTTAAGACCCCCCCTCAGAGAGCGGTTTTGGCACCTGGGCCATTATGCTGGGGCCTGGACTCTCTGACCAGTAACAAGAGACATTGAAATGTACCCTATTAGGATGGTTCATCTTCCCTGGATTAGTCAGGCATTCCATATAAATAAGTAAACACCCAACTCACCCCACTAGACCCCCAAACATCTCCCCTTTCACTTTCTCCCTCTTGATTTTTTTTCCAGAACGGGACTAGAGATTAGAAAAAGAGGTCTTGTGTATTCAAAATGCTAATTCAGACTTCTTTCTCTAATGCACTCATGAAACATTTTAATTGTCTGACTTCGCATTCAAAAGCCTTGTTTGCGACTCCTAATTGCCGGCTGCTTTGAACAAATAATTGAAATGCATGACTTGTGGGGTCTGCTTAAACAATTATAATGTGCTTTGCCGCTAGGTGCCGGTTCCCCCTCCCGCCCCAAGTCCCCTTTTGCATAATGACTAGCAGCCAGCTTGGTATTTGCAGCCCAGTTAAAACCGTGCTAATTTGCTGTGGAGAGCTGGGGCTGTGGCGGTGGCAGTACCTGCGTTAGTGCTTGCCACAGCAAAAACGGCTCCAATAGTTCAAGTGAATGTTACCAAGACCTTTTCAATTTCTGCTGAGAGAATCCCACTGGGGTTTGCTTTTCAAAATACAAATCTTTCACGGACCTGTTAGTTTTGGATTTCCACGCAATTTATGGTGCCCTTTCCCTGCAAATTCTCCCCAACCTGATTTTTTAACAGAGTTTCTAGCAAATAGATCCCTGGGTCTCCAGTGGCCGCAGTTCGAGTTTAGAAATGAAACAAAAGTGCAGGGATCCTGGGAATGCCCCAGGCGCTGGCCGCTGTGGGAGGCTGGGGACCACACACAGGGATGCCTCACTTTTAGAATCTAGAACACACTGCCAGATGGAAGTCCATTCTGGCCTCTTTCTTGGGACTCTTTGAGAGGAGGAGGAAAATGGGAATTGTGTTCATTTTCCTTTGGAATGTGTGAATTTTTTCACAATTGTGGTAGAGTACAGAACACCTCACAAACCTCTTGACCCCTTTGGACCGGACAGTTCGTTGGCATGAAGTGTCTTCACACTGTTGCTCAACCACCACTGCTGTCTACTCCCAGAACTCTGTTCATTAAAACAAAAACAAAACCCCAGAA